TATGAAGCGGTATATAAAAATTTGCTATTGCTATTGCTATTGCTATTGCTATTGCTATTGCTATTGCTATTGAGCCTCCTGTGGGCAAGTCCTTCACCTGGAGGACACTGGTCTGCCTTCTCTGAGCTTGAGAAAATAAGTACAGGAAACCAAAGTCTCTCCCTGCCGCGTGTATGTTAATACCTGATAATAAAAGCAATGTGGTATACAATGCAACAGTTCATTTGTACAAATTACAAGGGTGTTGGTCTGAAGGAAAAACAATAATTAACCCCCCCACACATACACATACTTCTCATTGCTAGATCAATTGGGGTTTGTTTACATTGCTGCCTTCATTTGGGTAGGCTCTCTGCCCAAAGGATGACACCAACAGGTGTTGCGTTGTGCAGTCTGACGCTACAGTGCTCCACCTAATTTGCTGGGCTTGTTTATAGCGAGTCCATCTTCGGTTTGATTGTGACTCATCGGAGCCTTTCATCCTCCCTCCGCAGGCCTTTGCTGAGTCTCCTGATGTCTTCCAAAGATTGTCTCAGAACGGCTCCCTTGTCCCCTGGCCCTCCTCTCTGTTTAGCAGGCTGTGCTGGCCTCCCCCTGCCATTATTTGCGCTATCTGCGTGCACACAAAGAGAAGTCGTGCGTTTAGGTGATAGGAATCATTTAATGCAGCTTTCCATAGTTTCAGATTGAAATGTTTTGCCCCCTGTAAATGCATTAGAAATGAATGCTGCATTCAAATAAGCAGAAGGACTCTGGACTCTGGACTGGTCTAAATCTTCATCCATGCCCAGTATTTATAATTAAATTCAGTTAGATAAGGGATGGTACTATGTCTTGGACTTGGAACCCCTGATGAGATGAAATATGTTCTTCCTATTTCCAATATTTTTCTTTAAGAAAAAAAATTCAAAAGGGAAAAGATACAATAAAACATTAAAGAGGAATGGAAGAAAAAAAGTCTTAGTCCATAAAATGAAATTAGTCAATATATCCAAAAAGAAAAAGAAAAAAGTCCGATTTTAAAAAATCAACTACATTTATAAAGGTCCAGTTAAATTCCAATAATAAAAAGGAAAAAAAAACCCTCTCAGTTTCACATTAGCATGAATTTGCCGCTTATTCTCTTCAGTCTTCACTTTTAATTATAATTTTCCTCTTTTAGGTGTTTTCTCAAATAAAAAAAGAAAAAAAAATTCTCACCAAGCCGACACACTTTTCTCCAGTCCTTGCCTTCCGGAGCTGTCAACAGTTTCAGCAGCCATTAATGGTTGCCTCACGGTTGCCAGTAAAAGAGGCTTTCCCTGGATCACCAGAGACTTTGCAATGTCTCTGGGATCAACAGGATGAGCCCTTTCCTGTCACCGTCTCTACGGGACGGTTTAGGTCTGGATGGACTGTCCAGCGACCTGGATATTGGTAGCTATCCTGGAGCCCCAGGATCGCCCGACCGTTTCACTGTGACGTCAGCTCTTCCCCCCTATTTTCAATATTTTTGTAAAGGACCTCTTCCCTTACTGCCTGGCCTTTTCTCCAGGAGGTAGCCTGGCCATCGAAAGAGTGAGGGCTCCTTGTTCTCTGAGACGTCATCACTAGCGCTGATGAAGTCACCTAGTTTAGGTAATGAAACGTCTGCAAGAGCACCAAGGATCCCTCATGTCAGCCCTGAGCTACAAATATTTGCTTTTATTGAAAGCATTGAAAGAGAAAACCTGACCTCTGTCCTTTTCCTGCCTCTTCAGGGTGGGACGGACCTGGAGAAGCACAGAGACCTCTTGCTGGCAGAAAACATGCACTTAAAGCAGGAGTTAAAGCTGTGTGAGGCCCAGCTGCAGGAGCTGAGGAAGCATTCGGCCAGGTGCACCAACTGTACACACAGCCAGGTGAGGCTCTGCTCCTCCCGTTGGCCCCCCTGTGAGTGGGCCTGTTCCTTAGGGACCTTTCCCCTTCCTCCCGCAGGAGAACGTAAAGTTGCAGGAGAAGCTGGCCCAAGTGAAGCAGGAAGCAGAAGACTTGAAGGGACGCCTTTCGGAGTTGGACCTGGAGGTGGAGCAGAAGACCAACCGCCTGGCGGAAGTAGAGCTGCGGCTGAAGGACTCCTTGGCAGAGAGGGCCGAGGAGGAGGAGCGGCTGAGCCGGAGACTGCGGGACAGCCAGGAAGTGATAGCTGGCCTCAAGGCCCAGCCTCATCAGGTCAAGGTGAGGGTGGCCTTATGCAGCGCCCAGGGGACTGGCAGTCTGCACGGTCCGTGGCCAGTTCTGCCCCTCTTCCCAGCTCTGGGGAGGACTCAGTCTGGGCTCTTCCGCTTCCTTTAGTATGTCATCAAAACGATGGAAGTTGAATCCTCCAAGACCAAGCAGGCCCTCAGCGAAGCCCAGTCGCGGAACCAGTACCTGCAGGACCAGGTTGGGATGCAGAGGCAGGTGCTGAAGGAGATGGAACAGCAGCTACAGAGCTCCCAGAAGGCGGCGGCTCAGCTCAGGGCCCAGGTAAGCCCTCCTGAACACCAGGAGCAGAAAGAAGGTTAGAGGCAGAGGGGAAGGAGGAGGCCAGGACTTCCAGGGGGGACTCTTCCTCGGAGGATGGATGTCACCCGTGGTGCTTCTTCCTCTTTGGCCTCAGGGAAGGTCCCCCACTCTGGGTTCCAAATGGTGTGGCTCCACTTCCCCTTTGTTGCTGCAACTGGACTCAGCCCCGCCCATCCCCCCGTGGGTCTTTCCGTTCTCAAGCCTAAATCTGGTGTGCCCCAAAGTGCAGACGGTCCTTGACCTACAAATATTCCTTCAGTGTCTGTTCAAAGTTGTGCTGAACGAATGGTGGTGATGACCAGTCCTCAGAATTCCCACCATCCCCTGGCTGCCACATCGTGAATTGGGTACTTTGCAACCAGCTCAAAATTATAACTGTTTGCAGCACTCTGTGATCACGTGATCGCCATTTGCAATCTTCCCTACTGGTTTCCCCAAAATGTTAGTGGGGAAGCCAGCAGTCACAAGTCACTCCCCACCTGTGCTTCCTTTCCACTCCTCTGCATTCTGCATTTCCACCGCACTTGTGCCACACCAACCATTTGCACACTTCCACGCTCCCCCCCTTGATTTTCACCAACCTCTTGCACATCCTCCAGGACTCTCACTGCAAACCCCCTCGCTCCCTCCCCTACCTGGCTGCAGCCACTTATCTGTCTGCTGGTCTGTGACTTGTAACTTCTTCCCAGCTTCCCCAGGAACAATCGACAAGGACTGCATGGTTAAGTCATGTGGTATCACACTTACTAAAGAACATTAGTGCCAATTTGCATCGTAAGTTGAGGACTTCCTGCAGGGACCATTTTATCCCTGGGCGGCAGCCATCTAATGCTGCAGATGAAATATCACTGCTTAGTTCATTGCTTGCTCCTCCACAGAGATGATCAGGTGATCTTCATTGGCAAAGAGGAGAAGAAAGTGGAGGGAGAACGCAGGAGGGGATTGCCTCCTCTGCCCTCCCTCCCTACAGCCTGGTGAGGCAGAGCAGTCGCCCAATAAAAGCCCTACCTGGAGATGCCCTTCCTCCCTTCCCCTAAGTGGCAGAAGGGGCTCCCCAAGTCCTGCTCAAGGGGAGAACTTCAAGGGCCCGTCTTCCTCCAGGTGACGATGTATGAATCCGAGCTGGAGCAGTCCCGGGAGCAGATGCTGGAGGAGATGCAGAACATGGAGGAGGACAAGAACCGAGCCATCGAGGAAGCTTTTGCTCAAGCACAACTAGAAATGAAAGCAGTTCATGAAAATCTGGCAGGTGCGTAGCTTGGACCTGGAGGCCCATCCTTTGCCGGCTTTGATGGGCTTTCCAAGCGGTGGCTGAGAGGCTCCTTCAGGGCCTCCCGAGTTGCCTGACTGGGGCATCAATGAAGAAGGGAGACGGCCAGTGAAAGGGAGCGTTTTCCGGGCCAGCTTTGAAGTCCTTCCTTTTGCAGGTGTGCGGGCCAATCTGCTCACGCTCCAGCCGGCACTTCGTACTCTCACTAGTGACTACAACAGCTTGAAGCGCCAGGTCAAAGAGTTCCCTGTCCTGCTACAAGAGGCTATGCAGAGCGCCAGGGCTGAGGTGAGCTCGTCCTCCCTCCTCCTCCTCCTCTTTCACACCCTGGGGAGAGCAGCTCATCTTCCTAGAAAGCCAAAGGGGCCTGGGAAAGGCCGGGCCACACAGAAGCCCCTGCTGATGCAGCTTCTCTTTCTCCCAAGATTGGGCAAGCCATTGAAGAAGTGAGCAGCACCAACCTGGAGCTGCTGAGAAAATACCGAAAGGAGCTGCAACTCCGGAAGAAATGTCACAACGAGCTGGTGCGATTGAAAGGTTTGCTGCTGCTCCTCCTCCTCCCTTGCATGCGTTGGGTGCGAAGGGGGCCCAGGAGGGGTGTTGGTGATGGGTCTTGAGTTGTTGGCCAAAGTTTCTGAAGTGGGGTGGCGGGCTTGACTGACATAGTGCAGGCACATTTTGGGCCCCAAGGACTTGACTTGCACCTGGTGAAGGGGCTGCCTGAGGGATTTCCAGAGTTGAGAAGCCTCTCACGTGACTGAGGGAAGCAGCCATTAAGAAAGATCCTCCTGGGAATTCCTCAGGCAGATCTCTTGGGTTGAGAATGGGAGCCAGGAAACCTCTCTTCCACTTGTTTCACTCTGTTTTGAGTCCAGAATTGGAGGAAGTTTACAGTGAACCTTTGACCTTGTAGCAGGGAGAAAGCAGAACTACTTGATTTATCCTTTTCATTTCTCTTTATGCAAAAGAAACAAAAATAGTCTATCCTACTAAAAGCCCAGAACTCTTCTGTGGGAGACAGAATAGGAATGCAGGTCAAAATGGGCAAGAAAATGGTAAGGCAACACCTGTCCACTCTAGGTGTCTATGGAGGTTCTCAACCATCCAGGTAATGGTGGTGTCAAAAGTGCTTTTCCAAAAGACAACTGGACTTTCTTTTTTCCCCCTTGAAAATGTTTCGCTTCTCATCCAAGGAGAGAACATCTGGGTTAGAACTGCAGAAGCTGCTTGGATGTGAAGCGAAACGTTTTCAAACAATAGCCAAGAAAGGTGCTTAGAAAAGCATCTTGGGGATTGTCCACCCTAGATGAGTTCAGATCACCAGGACTTGATGCAGGACATCCCAGGGTTTTGAAGAAACTGGCAGACATAATCTCGGAACCATTGAACATAATTTTTCAAAAATTCTAGAGCATCAGGGACCTAACAGAGGATGGGAAAAGGGCTGAGGTGTTCTAATCTATAAAAGGGGGGAAAGTGGACAGAGGAAACTAGAGACCAATCAGCTTGACATCAACATTGGGAAGATCTTGGGAAAAATAATCAATGATCACTTTTGTGTCTCTTCGCCAATGAAAAAGACATAAAAGCCATCATGGGTTTATCAAAAACAGATCAGGCCAGAGAAAACTTATGTTCGATAAACTAAATTAGTGGAGAAGAAAAATGCTGTGACAAAGTTTACCTAGACATTTGACAAAACCTACTTTTTAGTAAGAGAAAAATGTGGGATAGATTCCATCACTACCAAATGGATTCATAGCTGGCTGACCAACCATACTCAACATGTAGTCCTCAATGGAACATGGAGGGAAGTATTCAGTAGGGTACCTCAAGGTTCTGTCTTAGGCCAGTGTTCTTCAACATCTTCATAAATAATCTAGATGACGGGACAGAAGGGGAATACATCAGATTTGTATACAACATCAGATTGGGGATGACGAGCTAACACTTTAGAAGCAGGGATGTCAAACTCGTGTCGTCACATGACGTATCACAAACTTTTCCCCCTTTGCTAAACCAGGTGTGGGCGTGGCCAGCGCATGATGCATCCGGCCTGTAGGCCCCGAGTTTGACACCCCTGCTTTAGATGATAGCTCAGGATTCAGAACCTTGGTAGATTTGCGCATTGGGCCCTATCCCAACAAAATGCAGTTCAATTACAAGAAAAGTAACCTCCTTCACAGGCAAGAAAAGGCAAATGCACAGGTGTACAGCAGAAAAGGTGGCACCTGATCAACAGTAGCTATTAGGAGAGAGATCTTGGTATCCTAGTAGACAACCAGTTAAGTATCAGCCATCAGTGTGCTGCTACTGTCCAAAGGTCTAATGCAGCCCTAGGTTACATCCACAAAGGGATAGTTTCAAGATCATATGAAGTGATGGTACCACTTTATACAGTGCCGATGAGACCATACATGGGATACTACATCCAGTTCTGGTCACCACGATACCAAAATATGTTGAGACACTAGAAAGAGTCCCAAAGAGGAACCACAAAGATGAGGGGGCTAAACCATAGGATGAACAACCGAGGACTCTGGGTATGGCTGGTTTAATGAAGTAAAGCAGTGGTCTCCAACCTTGGCAACTTTAAGACCTGTGGACTTCAACTCCCTCTGGAGTTGCCACAGTTGGAGACCACTGAAGTAAAGGACGAGAGGTGACATGATAGCAGATATCTTCCAATATCTGAGAGGCTGTCACAAAGAAGAGGGAGTCAACTTATTCTCTAAAGCACCACAGGGCAGAACTAGAACTAATGGGCGAAAGATTATTAAAGAGAGATCCAACCTAGGAATAGGGAGAAATTTCCTGACAATGAGAACAATCAGTGGAATGGCTTGCCTTAGAAGTTTCTGAGTGCTCCACCACTGGAGGTTTTCAAAAATTGGCTGGACAGTCATTTGTCCAGAATGGTACAAGATATCCTGCCGTGGGCAAGCGGGTTGGACTAGAACACCTCCAAGGCTCCTTCCAATTTTATAGTTCGTGAACTTTCGGTTTTGTTCACTGCAGCAGTCTAATTTGGGGACAGTGTTGGATTGTCTCTGTTACCGTTAAACAGTCTCATTTCCTGTTAAAGGCAACATCCGTGTGTTTGGCCGTGTTAGGCCAATACAAGCAGAGGATGGTGAAGGGCCAGAAGCTGTGGGTGCAGTGACCTTTGACCCTGAAGATGATGCCATCCTACATTTGATGCACAAAGGGAAGCTGGTATCTTTTGAACTGGACAAAGTTTTCCGTCCAGAAGCAACACAAGAAGACGTAAGTGAGGATCTTCTGTCTTAGAGAATCAGGAAGGGGTGGGGGGTTCCTTAACTGTAAGAGCCAGTTGGTCTAGTGGTTAAAGCACCAAGACTAGAAATTCTGGCCTTGGGCAGAAAAGCCAGGTCAGTGATTTTGGGCAAGTTATTCTCCTTCAGCTCAACCCAGCTGACGGGGTTCTTGTTGAGGGGAAAATGGGAGAAGGAAGGAGTATTAGGTACCTTTGCCACCTTGAGTCATTTATAAAAGAAATAAAGAAATCTAGTAAATACAAATAACTGGAGGTTTCTGTGCTCCTGTTTTCTGACAGACCATTCCTGTAATACAGTGCTTCTCAACCTTGGCCCACCTGAAGATGCGTGGACTTCAAGTCCCAGAATTCCCCAGCCAGCTCTGCTGGCTGGGGGATTCTGGGAGTTGAAGTCCACTCATCTTCAGGTGACCAAGGTTGAGAAACACTGCTGCAGTATCTCTTTTGTCTGCATCAAGAAGCTCTGAGTTAAAAGGACAGTTCATGCGAATGGACCTCCGGAGCATTTCTGAATCTTTCTGTCTTGTTCCCCAAAGGTCTTCCGAGACGTTCAGGCGCTGATCACATCGTGCATTGACGGTTACAACGTTTGTATTTTTGCCTATGGACAAACTGGGGCCGGCAAGACGTACACCATGGAGGTGAGCCGCTTTCCTTTCCTTGTGTTCTGACTTAGACTTCCTGATATAGTAAAAAGCACACAATTAGTTCCAAAAACCCTCTTTTTATTTCAAAGGCTGTGAATTATATTCATTCACAGCTGGTAATGAGTCCCAAATAGTAGTAAAGAGTCCTACAGTAGGCTGCCAAAGTCCTTCGGGATAAGGCTGATAAGCACCCACCTTTATCTTCTTTGAAAACGCTGCCAAAGACTTAATGGGCAATTAGCTTGCAAGGCTACACAGAACAAAGAGTCCAAACGGAGTTTCAGAAGGTAAACTGACCAGCATGAACCAAGTTGCTTCCTGCAAAGCCTGATGTGCCTTTGCTCCCCCTTTATGTCCTATGGGAGGGGCCAATCACCTCCAAGCCTTACTCCTGAGTCATCCCTTTGGTCTTAACTGTTTTGTCTCCTGGCAGCTCTGCGCATGCGCGCACTGGGAACAGGGGGATCCTGTTCCTCTGCCTCACTCATGTCTGACTCTGGAGGCTCTGGTGGTAGAACATAACTCCCAGATGGCCCTGGCCCTCTCTCTGCCTCCGACACAGAGCCCACGTCCGAGCCTTCCCCAGACTCCAGGACTGCCCCATGTTCCTCCCCAACTTCCTCACTGTCCGACTCTGCTGCCAGCTCCGCAGGCTGCCGGAGAACCACAACACCTTGATCTTCTGCCAGGCCTGCTGCAGACCAGCCGGGCCGGTTTCAGAGAGCCAGGAAAAACGCATTCTGAGCTCATTCTAGTTCAACTGAATCCTATTTTTAAAAATGTATCCAGAATTGGAGATGTTACCATTGATGGAATTACACCAGTGCTGCATAAGATGGAACTTTTACTGCATACAATTTGGAAAATCCTTTTCTGTTGACTCAAGCTAAAATTGCATATTTTGCAAAAAAAAATTTTTTTTGCAGTCACAATACCCCGTTGACCCATCCTCAGTTTCTAAACTGTTAAGCCAGGTATCCCCCTTCTGTACCTCTCCATTTAATTTTGGGGACCGTAAGCGAAGGATTTTGCATTGTTCTGTCTTATAGTTCAGTCCCATTTTCTCTAGTGTATCAAGAGAGACTTTAATTGGTTTTCTGTCTTCTAGAAGGTTAGCTGTCCCATCCAGTGTTGCCTGCAAATTCAGTAAATCGGCTCTCCTTGTCTTCACCCAAGTCATGAATGAAAAATGGAGAGTAGAGAAATTTGTCTTCTTGTATTCTGTCATCCACTTGTCCCTCCTTCCAAGCCATTGAACGGCTCTACTTGAGCGCAGGCTTCCAATCACTCTGTATCCATGTAATTGCCAAGTGGTCTAGCCCAGAGTTTGCTGGCTTGTCAATCTGATGGCTCTGTGTCCAGGGCGCCACTGAAACCCCAAATGTCCACCATGAACCCACCAGTGAGCCTTCTAGGCGTGTTGCTTATCTACAGTCAATCTTGTTTAGGAAACAAATGATAACATTGATGAAGGCAAAAATCAACATCACAAAAGTATGTAAAACTAAGGGGACAATCATGCCCAGAAAAGCTAACTGTGGTTTTAGTGTTGAGAGAGAAGTAGAAGAATGAGAGGTCCCTGGGGCTGAGCTCCATTGCATTCTTGCAGATGTTTCATTGCCCAAACTAGGTAACATCATCAGTGCTCTGATGACAAGTACATTTAAGGCCTGGGAGACCTGAGTAGTTAGTTTCCAGACATATTTCCCCATTCCAGTGGCAATGGGGCAGAACGATTGATTGATTGATTCATTCATTCATTCATTTTATATAGACTCCTATGAAGGACTACTAGAATAAAGTGGCAGATGGCCAGGAAGGAGGGAGCACATTCCAAGGACGGGCAGGGGACTAGACAAGAGGCAGCTGGGGCTGCGATTAAGGGAAGAGATTTAGGACAGCCATTCCCAGGGTATCTCTGTTGGGATGAGAGTAATAAGGGTTAATTCTGGCCAGAGTCTGTCTATTGGTGTGAGTAAATAAAGACTTAATTTTGGATTGTGTTACATCATTCTTGGTCAGGGCCTGGCACTGCTTATTTCACTTCCATGACTTGGCTTGCAATCAAAACATAAGCAGTACCAAAGACCCCCAAAATAAAAGAACAATACACAATACAAAATGTTAAAACAATTAAAAACCACACAATGCAGTCACTGGGAGAGCACAGTCATTCAAGCACAGCCATTGGAGGGGCTCTCCACCATTTTCTGATCCTGGGCCAGATGGCCAGGTCAGCCCTTCAGGTCCTGGGTGGAAAGCTACAGTACCTCGGAGGCAGCAGTTAAGTCTGAACACCAGCCGGAGGAGAAAGAGCAGCGCCATAGCCTGTGTGGTTGTCTTAGCATCCCTGAGCTGGCAAGCGCATTCACTCCTACCACAAAGAAGGAGAGTCTTAAACCCTCAGTGTAACGGAGCACTTGCTCGGGATGTGAGGAAGAATGAAACGAATAATTTCCACAAAGCATTTACATTACCTTGGTTGCAGTAAATTTTATCCATTATTTTGGGGTGATGCTTGGATGAAAAGCTTGTCTAAAGTAACCTGAGATCTGTTAAACCAAGATTAACCACACATTTATGGAAATTGTAAAATAATTGACTTGGCCTTTTTTGAACTGTTCCAAGTTCAAAAGCACTCAAACCAATTTCCAGGAAGGGTGGTGGCAAAAAGAATTGTATTAAGAAATTGGAATTATTCCAGATGTCAAGGAATGGTTCTTGCAATGTGTGAGCTCTGTGTTTTGGGAAAGGCAATATTTTCTACTAATCAAAGAATGGAACAATGTGTGTTGCTATGGCAGAGATTCTGGGATATCTTGCAATGGTTTTTTTCATTGTTCATCTTACAATAGCAAATTCATTGGTGAACCATTGGTGACTAGAGATGAGCATTAAATATAAGATTCTTGTCTTTTTCTTCTCAGTTTGTACTTTTAATTGCTTTTATTTTTTTCTTCAATAAACATATTTTTTAACAAATGAAAGGATGGGGGCTTGACCTCCACCAGACCTTCGACCTTGGGCGAGTCACGAGTTTCTTTCTGGGGTGCTTTCCCCCTCTAGGAGTTGGAAAAGAGAGCAGGGATGGAGATGGCAGGCCACGAGAATGCCAAGGTCTTTTTTTTCAGGGGCCCCCTCAGGCTGCCCCTTGGGGGTATCTCTAGAATGGCCCCTTCCATTTTCTTCTCTCTTGGAATTCCTTCACTTTTAACACCAACACGAGGCGTCTCTGCCTTTCTCATCAGGGAAGCCCGGAAAACCCCGGGATCAACCAGCGGGCCCTGCAGCTTCTCTTCTCCGAGGTGCAGTCCAAAGCCCCCGACTGGAATTACAGCATCACTGTCAGCGTGGCTGAAATCTATAATGAGGCGCTCAGGTAAGGGCAGGGAACCAGCCTCTCCAGCAGGTGGAAGGTCCTTGGACAGGGCTGGGAAGAGGGGCTTCGGTGGGTGCAGCCCCTGCCTGCATTGGTTGGAGCCACAGTCACTTTTTGCAGGGTGTGAGAGGGCTTCGGAGTTGCGCTTGGTTATCTTCCAAAGCAACCCACCCCCAATCACCTCTCTCTGTCTCTCTCTGTCTCTCTCTCTGTCTCTCTCTCTGTCTCTGTCTCTCTGTCTCTCTCTCTCTATGTCTCTGTCTCTGTCTGTCTCTCTCTGGATGAAGGGAACAGTGCACAAAGCTGCCTCAGGCCAGAGCAGCCACACTTGATTGTGGTTTGTCTGACTTTATTTGGGTTAGAAAGTAAAGTTTTTGGCCTGAACTGAGAGCCTTAATTCTGGGTTTTCCAGCAAAATGGCAGCTACCCCGAAGCGCTGAATGGGGTTTGAGGCTGCACACTTTAAAACAGAGGCCGGTTCTTCTCTTTCCTTTTGCACCTTAACGACAGGAAGTCGCTTCCGTCTTTGCATTTGGGCCGTTTGGCCCCTCTTCTCTTTCTCCTGGGACGGAGGCCTCCTGCATGACTGTCTCCCTTTCAGAGACCTGCTTGGAAAGGAGCCGCAGGAGAAGCTGGAGATCAGACTCTGCCCAGATGGCAGCGGGCAGCTTTATGTTCCAGGCTTGACCGAGTTCCCTGTCCACAGCGTGGAAGACATCAACCAGGTTAGCGCGGCAGGAGGGGCTTCCTGGTGTGCTCTGTGAGGGGATGTCTGTTCTCTTCCTGAAGCACTTCCTGAAATGGAGTGTTAGCTGGTTTGGGCAAGTCAGAGGGCAGAAGCTGAGGTTTCCCCACTCTGAGCTGCCGGCGCTTCCAGAATGCCTCAGCCAGTTTGCTTGGGATTTTAACAGCCGCCAATTCTGTGTTTAGCCCTTGAGTGGGGGGCTCCCCCATGGAGTGGAGCTCGGGTAAGAACAGCTAAAAAGAGGCAGAGACCTCTAGGGAGCTCAGCCCTTCTACCAGACTGGGATGAGAACAGGAGGATCCGAAGCTGAACATGGCAGATCCAGCTTATTCTCTCTTCCTCCCAAAGCTGCTCCCAACCAAGAAAACGAAATTATCAGACCATTAATCCCGTCAGTCAGATCCATTGCAGGGAAAAGGTGTGACAGAATCTTGGATGCTGCATAGATGCTCTTTAGCCTGTTAGGGCAGGGCCTCTTCTGACCCAGCTCCCCAAATACGACAGACCCTCTGAAGTGGACTCAAAAGATTCCTTTATTAGGAGCGCCAGCAGCCCCGGCAAAAGTTTCTCTCTCACCACAGGCTAACAAGTCCGTCTGGCAGGGAAATGAAAAGTTGTCTGCTACATCTATTCATCTCCGCCTCCTGCCTTTATCCCCAGAGCTAGGGTGGGACTTTACTAGCAGTGGTGGCTCTTCCATTCCAAGGACCAATCCATATATATCCACTGCTCTCCTCTTCTCTGCCTTCTGTGCATCCGCATGTCAGGCACTGGACCCAGCTGTTCCTCCTCTTCCTCATCAGCCACCTCCAGACCTGGGGGCTGTTGACTCTCCATTTGAGGGCTGATGGACGGTCCAGGCTCCACCTCTTGCTCCCTCTGCCAGCTCCACTCCCTCTTCCCCCTCAGAGTTCTCGGGATGCCTCGATGCTGACCCTGAGTCCCAGGCCTCCTTCTTGGTTTGGC